TTGACAAGTCAATAATAATCAAAAACAAATCAAAAACAAAAACAAAAAAAAAAAACAAAAAAAAAAAACAAAAATCAAAAATTAAAAAAAAAAAGTCTTTGGACTTCTCAATACTTGCCCACATTGATAGGCAAACAATTACATTTGTAAGAGGAACATTTGCTCCTCTTATATAGAGGAACTCAAGAGCTCCTTTTCTAAACATTTTCAATGTGGGATCAAAATGATCCAACATCATTTACAAAGGGGTGCCCATGACTTCATTTTTTTTTTTTTTTGTTTTTTAAAATTTTAATTTTATTTTGTATATCATTTTGTTTGGATTATTATTATTATTATTATTATTATTGATAAATTCGGCAAAATTTTATCAAATTCGTCATTTTAAAGTTTTAACTTTAATCAAAACTCCAAAAAAATTATATAATAACTTAGTAATTTTCTCCAAACTGCTAAAAACTAATACAACACATACATTTTGGGTTAATCTCTCATAACCCACCACTAATAATAAAAAATAAATAAATAAATACTAAAATAAGAAGACAAAGTTAAGACTTCTTAAATAAGAACATTTTGATTTCTCAATATTTGTCCACATTGATGGGCAAGCAATTATGTTTGTAAGAGGATCATTGCTCTCTCTTTTCAAACATTTTTAATGTGCGATCAAAATGATCCCAGATCATTTACAAAGGGAGCTCGTGACTCATTTTTTTTTTAATTTTAATTTTATTTTGCATATAGTTTTGTTTGAATTATTATTATTGTTGTTATTATTATTATTGTTGTTGTTGTTGTTGTTGATATTATTATTATTGTTGTTGTTGTTGTTATTCTAATTTGATTATTTGACAAATTCGTCTATTTAACATTTTATATTTAATCAAAACACCAAAACTATTATTGAATAACTTAGCAATTTGCTCCAAACGTTTAAAAACTAAAACAACTCATATACGTTTTGGGTTAATCTTTCTTAAACCCCCTAATAAATTAATAAAATTTTAAAAAAATCTAAAATAAGAAGCCATTAAGATAAGGTTTCTTAAATAAAAGCATTTTGACACGTTGGTCTTCAATAGGTTGAGAAAGTATACATATAACATGGTCAATCGAATAGTTATGCTGTGGAACCGTGTCCACCTTGCAAGGTGGACACAGTTCTATGTTTATAATTACTGAACTATATGTTCATTATTATAAAGTTATATATTCATAATCTTAAACTTCATATTCATAATTATTGAACTCTATATTTACAATTACAGAACTCTATGTTCATAATTACTAAACTATATGTTCAAAATTATTTTCACAACACTATGTTCATAATAGTGGAACTATATATTCATATTATGAATAATTTTAGAACCGTGTTTATCTTGCAAGATGGACACGGTTCCACAACACAATTTGCCGGGTCAATAGTACTAAAAAAAAATTAAGAGCCTTTGAACTTCTCATTTGTAAAAGGAGCATTGCTCCTCTTATATAAAGGAGCCCAAGAGCTCATCTTTACAAACATTTTCAATGTGCGTCATCATTTACAAAGGGGAACCCGTGACTCCCTTTTGTCTTCTTCTTATTTTTTTAATTTTAATTTTATTTTGTATATTGTTTTGTTTGGACTATTATTATTATTATTATTATTATTATTATTATTATTATTATTATTATTATTATTATTATTATTATTGTAATTGTAATTTGATTATATTTATAAATTCACCAAAACTTTAACAAAATTTTGAACTATATATTTATAACTACTGAACTATATGTGAACATATTCACAATTATTGAATCTCTATATTCATAATTACATAACTATATGTTCATAATTATGCTCACAACACTATATTCATAATTATAAAACTATATGTTCATAATTGTTGAACTATACATTCATAATTATGAACAATTTTGGAATCGTGTCTACCTTGCAAGGTAGACACAATTCCACAGCATAATTTATCGGGTCAATAGTACTAAAAAAAAAAAAAAAACTTTGGACTTCTCAATACTTGTCCACATTGGTAGGCAAACAATTATTATGTGTGTAAAAGGAGCATTGCTCCTCTTATATGGAGGAACTCAATAGCTCATTTTCTAAACATTTTCAATGTGGGATCAAATTATCCAACATCATTTACAAAGGGGAGTCCGTGGCACCCTTTTGTCTTCTTCTTATTTATTTTAGTTTCAATTTTATTTTGTATATCGTTTTGTTTGGATTATTATTATTATTATTATTATTATTATTATTATTATTATTATTATTATATTATTATTATTATTATTATTATTATTTTATTTAATTATTGATAAATTCGTCAAAATTTTAACAAATTCATCATTTTAACTTTAATCAAAACCCCCAAAAAATTATATAGTAACTCAATAATTTGCTCCAAATGACTAAAAACTAATACAACACATAATAAGCTTTATAATACTGAACACAGTTCGATTTAGCTTCATAATAATTCAATAACTATGACACAGTTCTATGTGTTCATATTCACAATTATGTAAGCTTTATAATACTGAACACAGTTCGATTTAGCTTCATAATAATTCAATAACTATGACATAGTTCTATGTGTTCATATTCACAATTATGTGTTGAACTTCATAATAATTGAACTTCATATTCACAATTATTGAATCGCTATATTCATAATTAGATAACTATGTGTTCATAAGTATGTTCACAACACTATGTTCATAATTATAGAACTATATGTTCATAATTTTTGAACTATATATTGATTATTATATTCATAATTATGAACTATTTTTGAACCATGTCTACCTTGCAATGTGGACACAATTTCACAGCATAATTTGTCCGGTCAATAGTACTATAAAAAACCTTTAGACTTCTCAATACTTGCCCACATTGATGGGCAAGCAATTGTATGGCTATAAGAGGAGCATTGCTCCTCTTATATAGAGGAGATCAAGAGCTCCAATTATATTATAGAATATAATACCATATATAATATTAACAATTAATAGATTTTATTTAATTTCCATTTGACATTTACTTACTAAATAAGTTTTACTACAAAAGTTTTGGGGGGAAAATTTGTTAGGAAGATTTTACTTTTATATATATATATATATATATATATATATATATATATATATATATATAGATGAATTGATATAGTACAAATATCAATTTATATTTGGCCCAAAATCAAAACTGGCCGAGTAAATCTCTTTTTTTTTTTTGTTTTTTTTTTTTTTAATATGAGCCTAGGTTTGGCCTAATTGGGCCAAACCCAGCCCAATAACTTAATCTTCATCATCTTCCCTAATTACGTAGCAGTAGCGCACATAATAAATATCCAATTTTTTCTTTCTTTCTTAATGCAAAAAAAACTTAATTTCCAGCAGCCCAGACATACAATTGTATACTAAAAAAATATTCACATTCAATTATACAGAAAAGTATATATAACATATGCAAATATTTAGCAATTAAAAAAGAACTAGGCAGAGATTATATATATCACATGCATATTACTGTGAGATACAAGACCGACTAACCTTCAGCCATAGTTCTTGATACAGTTGAGCGATCCGGACTGCTGCAGGGATAACACGAGTATTTTGTCTCTCACTTTACTCAACTCTCTCTTGATGGTGTATGTGTTATGTAATGTGAGCAGTGAGAGGACTAGTGATCTTATATAACCACTGGTCATCATTGTGGTTGTATGTCTTTAGGTTTCCTAAACCCTAACCAGACTCCTAATCATAATGGTAGTCTAGCTATTAGGTTATTAGTGTTGCAACACATTTCAAACACTGAATATTATCATAACTTATCCTAATGTTATAATAATAGTAACGGATAAAATGTTACAATACCAACTTCTATAATCTTGGTGAAATCTAGTGGATTTAAATTAACTGATGTGAGTTGCCCCGCAAACATAAGAGTTTTAGCTCCGAATTGCGTTACCAATTACTCAGTCCCTAGTTCTATTTTTTATACTAGTCTTTTAATTTTGTTCTTTCTCTATATGAAAATCAAAGTAATTAAAGATAAGTTAATTTTCATTTACAATTAAATAGAACTTTACAGATCCATATGCATTCAAGATCCGAAAAATGGCCTTGCAAGTATAAGTTATGCCAAACTTTATACTAAACCATTCTGGTAAGCTAACCAGAGTGGACGAGTGGTTGGCTTGGGGCTAATGATTCGTTGCCTCGACTCGCCATTTGCTCGTAACCTCTCGGATACCTCGTCTCGTCTCATAAGTATGACTCGGGAAGCGACCATTCTGAGTCTTAATTAATCAGTTACGGCCAGTGGCGGATTTAATTTTTTTTTTTTTTAGGAGAGGGTAAAACATTAAAGCAAAAATGATAATTAGAAAAAAGAATGAAAAACTTAAAAAGTATAGCCATAAATATTGTTGGATATAGGCAAATTATAAAACAGATCAAAACATTATAAAAATATTCATAACAAAATATGAACATAATCAATATGATAAAATAATTTGAATAAAAAATCCACTATAAATTACACATCTCATCTTATTATTAATATATATATATATATATATATATATATATATATATATATATATATATATATATATATATATATGAAATTGTGTTGAAGCAATATGCATAATTAATAATAGTGAAAATGTGAAATAATAAGAAAAGGTAGTGTTGAAAGCATATGAAAGATGCTCAGCCAACTAGGCTACCCAATTTCTTGTAACATTTGTCTATTTCCTAATACTTATACTAAAACATATATACATACAAGAATTATATAAGGGCCCTGGTTACGGCATTCATCAAGATCCACGATCGTTTTTCACCCAGACTTATTTTCACCCTATGCACAATGATTCATGCAGTTTTTCATTTGGAATAGAAAATTAATTTAATTAACGACACAATCAAAGAATAATATAGTCTTATTATAACATTAAGGTAATTAAATTAAATTCATTCTGAAAAAGTAATACATAATGACATTTAGCCTTCAAATAATTGTCAAAATAAGCAAAACAATCATGATATGGAGGAGTTAACTTCGTCTAAATATATACTCTCTTTAATAACATTAAGAATACCAATCATGATATACTCTCTTCAATAACATTAAAGCTTTGGTGCTCGATCAAAACAAGAACACCAAAGCTTAAATCCATCCTCGATCTTCTATCAAGGAAAAACAAAAACCAAAATTCTTCATTCCAAAAAATATGCAATCTCATCCTCAACATGCACAAGACTTTTCATACTTGATAGATGAAGCTTATAATTAGAAACTCCACTTATCTCAAACCTTTTCCAAACATCTCTTCCAAACGAATAAACTAAAATCAATGGAGACATCGTGTTACTTTGAAGCAAGAACACAATCTCCCCCATACTATTTGTAGCAAATCCCATAGAACTAGCTTGACTGATCACCTTACTCTCCTCCAATGGAAGAAGGATAGTCTGCTTCTCCCACTCCTCCATTGATCTCTCCCACGTCCATATCTCTATTTTTCTCTCGTCTTCTCTTGCATCAGGAATAATAAAGTTAATGAAAGACATGCGACCATTCAATTTCATTATCCATGGCACCCACCACAACACATACCCATGCGGGTACGGATGATATCCAGATGGAAACGGTACAAACGTGATAAAACTCTCTGTCGCAACATCCATTGCAGCTATCTTTGGTGATGATGACAATTCATTTATATCATCAGGTGACCATTCAGACATATCAGGTATGAAATAGATAATCCCATTAATGTGGACCATGGCAACATAGAGGTGTCCAGTAGTGAATTCTATCTCCCTCCATGACTCATCCACATCAACAGTTAAAACCCAATACCGATTCAACACCCACCTGTAATTCTCATACAGTGGTGATGACCTGAAAACCTTGTACCTTTCGGAAACCGAGTCAAACGCCACCACATCAACAGTGAACACACTGCTCACATACGACAAACTACTATCGGACGGCACAGAAATACGCCGACCTGTACTAATATCGAAGAGAGCTTGGTCTCCCCATAGTTTGTTGTTGAGCAGAACCATCTTTCCATCGGCGGAACTCGTAGAATCCGCCCATCTTAAACCTCGTAAATCTAAAACTTGGGCACTGTCTGCTTGGAGCCTTCCATGGCTTTCTTCATTGTAACTCAAGGAGTTTAAACTTAATACGGAACGTACACTGGATGGGAGTACGACGACGATTCTGAAGCCAAAGCGTGGCTTCGGTATGTAAGAATAAAAGAATTTACAACTGCATCTGAATCGTACAGCAGATTTTGCAGGCAGACCGGTGAGAATTTTGACAAGTATCTCTCGCGGAAGACGAGTTATAGAAGTTGAAGCTGAAGCGTTCTTCTGTCTTTGATCCTCCATCTGCAAATTCAATCAAGAATGATAGTTGCAGTTTTTAGGTTATTAAATATGAGGTTTATATATATAGAGTGCGTTTAGATGCTATACAGTAGTTGATAGGGAGTAAAACACACAATTATGGTATGATTTGGGTCCTATTATAAATCTATTTCTTTCTTGATACACTTTATTTATTGAAACAATATAATTTGGTAAACTTGGTAAATACAAATTTGACTAGAATTATCTTAGCCTTTTCTGTTTAAATAATGACAACCTAAACTAGTTTATCTCGTTTTGATCAATTATTAATTATAGTTACAATATAAGATTTAGTGCATACCCTTGTATATTTACGATGAGTTTTTCGTCATCCATAATCATATAATTTAATTTGTGCAATTATTAAATAAAAAAAATCAATGCAATAATAATAATAATTCGAAAGCAGCAATCTCAAGGAATGGAAATTAATCTCCCAAATAAATTTTGTAAAAACGAATACATGAAGAAGCTAAGGTATATCCTCGATCGGGTATCACTCAGGAACTTAATCGGGCGACCAAGCTCCACGGCAGGGGTGTCTTCACCCAAGTACCGCGGCCCCTCAGAACCCCTCCTAGGCAGTTGAGACGCCTCCGGCTACGCGCTCACACAGAGGCGGTTATAAGCATATTTTACGAAGATCTCTCCATTTATTTAAGCAACTTCCTTTATTAGCTTAGACAGTTATTGTGGTAAGTAGGCTAGATTCCTTATTTGAGTTGGCTCTACGTCAGCCCTACTTCCCTTATAGAGTTGGCCCTACTTTCCTTGTAGGAGTCTTGTACCCTAGTATAAATATCTCCCGGGATCATCATGTAAGGGGCTCCGAGCTCTCGCTCTCGAATCTTTGGCACTTAAGCGGCTGAAACCCTTGAGAAATAATACAACATTATTCTCCCCATTACTCGAATCTGCGTTCATAAAAACCCTACCCTTGCTTAGTGTTGTATATATATATATATATATATATATATATGTATGTATATATATGTATATATGTATATATATGTATATATATATATATATATATATATATATATATATATATATATATATATATATATATATATATATATATATATCCGTGACGTGCTGAGGAAAGTAATTATATTTAAAAAAAAAAAGTTTTTCGCGACACCCACCTAAGAGTGGGTGTCTCGGAAACAAATTAATAAAAAAAAGGGGAGACTTTCCGCGGCACCCACTTATCAGTGGGTGTCGCAAAAATAAATTAATAAAAAAATAAATGACTTTCCGATGCACCTGCTCTAGAGCAGGTGCCTCAGGAAGTCTATATTAAAAAAAATAAAAATAAAAATCTTCTTCCGCTTTCCGCGTCACTCTATATGGGTCTCTCGAAAAGTGAAGGACTTTCAAAGTCCCCGAGATTCGAGTCACGTGTATAGGTGACTCAGAAAGTGTTTTATATGTGATTCAAAAAACTTTTTTTTTTTTTTTTTTTTTTTTTTTTTTTTGTACTAGTGTGTCACTAGACCACAATGCCTTTCAAAAAAGCTAGGTATTCAAAAAAAAAAAAAAAAAGAGAGAGATATACTTGGTTCAAGTTATCACATGTTAATTCGGTAATTTTCTAAAAAAAAAAAATCGTTATATAAGATGATGGATAGTGTACCAGGTTGACTGAGTGGATCACTTGAATCAAACAAAGTAATAAAACATTACCAGACTCAGATTACCTAGGTAATCTAAGATGACTCGAACCATCTCCTTGCAAGGGAGTCCGTTTCTATGACTGAACGTATGGAGTAGCTTTCTAACCCTCCTTCCTTTATCTGTAATGCTCTTTCCTTTGATTTAATTTAAGCTTGTTTTGGTTTTCAAAAAAAAAAAGAAGATCATGTTAGAATAAATATATAATCATATACTTGTAATGATCTAACCTCGTAGCGGAAGCGTAGGAATCAAGAAAAACTCCAGCCATAGTTGATATGTTTGGTGCATTGCATTGTAAATCTTCTAGTAGCAATTTCTGCATAGTAACAATGTCTCCCACTTGATCTCCAGACAGTATAGATGGTGTATTTCAGGTGTTCCGGAGCAGTGGCAGGACCTACACTTTTATAGCCTTATATGCCATCAATATAGGCTTTGTAACGGAAAACGTTATTTCCGTTACAACATTAATACTACCACTTAATAGTCATAAAGTGCTCATTAAACTTGCACCACATTTAAAGTGACTTAATGAAAATATTGTTTACATTCTCCCACTTGGTGCAAGTATAAACTTTAAAGAAATAGAAAACATGAATGTAACCATAGAGATAGTTCCTCTCAATGGGAGTAGTATCCACTATGACCACAATGTAACTTTTCCTTTAAGTACTTTATGTCTTTATGTGGCAACAAAACTTAATGAATAAACATTATGTTCATTCTTGATTATAATTAGTTTATCAAAACTAATTATTGCCTCAATGGTTAAATTTGGCCTAATAAACTTGCACAACTTTATTTGTACAATATTAATGGAAAAAATGTTACAATTTTTCACTTGGTGCAAGTATTGGCACAACCCTTGTTGAAGATCAAAAAACATGAATCATAGTGGTATGTCCTCTAAATTAAAGGGTGAGTAATACCATCTATGCATCACATGCATTTTGATTCCCAACTCAGGTCCTTTATGAATAAACCCTACGTTTATTCTTGGTCCAACCTTAGGGATGTTTCTCAAATAAATATGCGCATAACCATAGGAGAAACCATCCAAATTATTACATAGAAGTGACAATATAAATGTACGTACAATATAGTCACATAATAAGTTCCATGTACCATGTACGATCCCTAAAGTTCTTATAAGCATGCCTTAAGTAGGGATCCGAAACTATTAGCAAAATGCTAATATATTACATGACTAACTCATTATCTTTAATATTATCGCTGACAGCTAAGTTTTCAGAGTTGACACGTCTGTCACTCATACTCTTAGTAATCTTAGCCAAAGATAATAATTGAGTAGTCCATATTCCAACGACTTAGATAACAAATTCATGAGTCTAAGCCCATAAACGGAACTTTAAACATGCACCTTATAAATGATCTCCAAAACAAAGGAAGGAAGCCCAACTTTCATGTCATAGAGCAATACCGAGGATTTTTTAATGTAACTTTATGAAACAACAAAAATATTGTATCATCATAAAAACAAAAAAATCCTCAAGATTCATCTATATGAACCAACATCATGAGTCTTTGCATGCTTTATGTCTCTCAACATTGAATCTTGAACCTTTTAAATCTTAATGGCCCAGGATCAATTTGATGAAACGAAAGACTCCAATAAATGCTGAAGAATCTAACTCGTGATAGTTCACCATAAACTTAATGTCATTGTTATAATAAAAACTATTAATGTTGTTACAACATTTTCAGAAATATGTTGCACAACTTGTAGCTAGTTCAACAAATTTGAACTATTTGATTTTATAATAACAAGGTAAGGTGTCTTATCCTTGAAGTGGAGCAATCTTGAGGTGGGACATCTTTTAATGATCTTTCTAAATGATCACTCCCACTGATCAAACGAGGTATCTTTATTGGATCTTTTCAAATGATCACTCCCACTGATCAAACCATTACTCTCACTAATAAAGTTATTCTTGAGCATAAATGATATACACACTAATGATCCTCAAGTCCAACTAATTTAACAAGGATTATAATTCTCCACCATAGTTGGACATGTTAAATATGTACATGTAACAGACACAATTTCCAACTACTCAAACAAATTAAATTGCTTTAGTTAGTTGAAATTTGGCTAGATATGTACAATTCCAATATAAGGATCCAAAAGTATATCATGAGTAAATTCAAAGGCTCTATTGTGGTTGGGGGCTGAAAAACCAAGTAAGTGATTGTAGCAAAAATGAGTGATGGTGAGTGTATGGGTGTGTAATGTCGTCCTCAGGGGATTGGGGGTTATGGCACGCAATATGCAATCACAAGAAACTAGGCACTAGCATAAGGAAATCAACAAGAAGCTAAGCAAATCATAACGAGATTGAGGTTACGGTAACTAAACAAAGTAACACAAACACATATTAACAAGATGTAAATACGAAATAAAGAAATTGGACTCAAGCTAGGGAGAATTATCATCTAGATGCTTTAACAACCTAAAGGATTAGGGAGAACAAGTAACCAAGGAATCAAACGGGAATGCACGTAGGTATCCTAGTCTACGAACCATTCTCATGATTAATAAACAAGAATTAGAACAAAGAATTGCCCCACTTTCGTGGTGAATCAATTCCAAGTCCATCAAGCACACAAAGCATCTAAAGCCCCCAATTTCCCCTATTTTCATAGGAAGAAATCGGGTCTATGCAAGGGGTGGCTTGGATTCATCACCCAACTCTCGTTGAAGCAAGGAATCCTCCAAAAACAAGCTAATGAATGCGTACATCAAACATTAACAAGATATAAACACAACACCTTCATAAACACATGAACCCTAGGTAGTGTTCTTCCCCTTTTTGGTTTAATCACAAATCAAGCATCAAGATAGATAATACAACCCTAACTCAAGTCCATAGACTAACTACTCATGATTCAATAGCATAAAGAACACAAAAACATAAATGTAAAGCATAAACATTGCAAGATAAAGAGATAAAAGGGATAAGAAAACTTCACTAAGAAATGGATGGTAAATCTTGGAATTCAAGTGTTGAATCCTTGATTACAAGCTTGAAAAATGTTAAAAAACCTAAATACTAGACTAATCTAAGCTAAGGAAATGAAAGGAAGTGAAAGGGAATGAAAGGAATTGAAAGGAATGAAAGGAATGAAAGGAATGAATCTTTGTCTTCCCTTCACCCCCTTTTTATACTCATCCCAATTGCTACCTCTCTCTCCCTTTTTGGTTTTCTTTATCTTCCATTCACCCACTCCACTAATCACATATATTACATTATGTATATAATGGAGCATCCACCCAAAAAAGGAGAAAATTCCACTACTTTCTTCCACTTAAATGAAAGTAGTGGAGTAGGTATCAATCACTTTTCCCTCTTTTATGTTGAGTGCTGACCCTTTTTTTCTTCCGAATTAGGCTTCGGTGTCTTCACGAAAGTTGTAGATATTCGAGTCTTCTTTCAAAAGGAGCAAGAATAACTTAATTTGGACAATCCTAGATCGAGATATGATCAAATTACCAAACAGTGGTCAGTTTCGGGTGAAATCTGTAAGTTCGGAACTTCAACTTCAAGAATGATTTTGACCACTGTGGATTTCTTTTTAGGCTTTGATGTCTGAATATGGGTTGTAGCTCTTTGAGTCTTCTTTCTAATCAGACAAGAATCACATAATTTAGATATTTCTAGACCGAGATATGCCCCGAAAACAGAACAGTGTCCAATTCACGCGAGAATTTCAGCTTGTTGATACTTGTTCCACTTTTGCCTTGGTTTAATTTGTCCATATGATCAACACCATAGAAAACATCACTCTTTGACTCCTTTGGAAGTGTTGCATCCATCTCCTTAGCTTCACCTTGGCTCCCCTTGACTCCAAATGCATCCAACATGATCTAAAATCCTTCATTTCTACTCAAAGATAATGAATTGTGCATAATGGATCAAATGAGCAAAACAAAGATCATTTTGAACAACATTGTGACACTTCATAAGCAAAACAAGGTTAAATATGGGGTAGACATGAGGTATAAATATGAACAATTATGCACTTATCAGTAAGCCACATACAGTAACAATTTCTAGTTACTAAAGTTTTGGAGGTTAACAAAATACATGTGTTGCCAATGCAACCCATGTGACATAATATAGAATTATAACTAGCCTTAAAGTTATAAATTCTAAAAATTGGTATGATAAAATTTTATCTTGATCATCAATTTAAACAAAAGAATCCAGTGACATAAAACTTGCCTGTAGGCTAAAGATTTATTCAATTAGACTCAACTGAAACTTTATGGTAATCAAATAGAAGAATCTAGTGACACAAAACTTGCCTGTGGGCTAAAGTTTTGTTCAATTAGACTCAACTAAAACTTTATGATAAAATTATTATCAAAGGGGATAGAAGAATCTAGTGACATAAAACTTACCTGTGGGCTAAAGTTTTATTCAATTAGATCCATCTACAAATTTATGATAAAACTGTCAAACCATGTTCCTTTTCTTAATCCCTGTGGGTAAATTAAGAAATATGATTTAATATTTTATCTTGACTATTTACATTAATATAATAAAATTTCTGTGGGTAGATTTTATTATACTTCATGTAATTAGTCACAAAGTGATCAAAATAACTTAATGATTTCAGTTATGAAATTGTATTGATCACTTGATATTTGTACACAAAAGAATATTAATGTACCAAGATATTAATCCAAATTTCTTCCATACATAATAAATACACATAAAAGAAACTAGACTAATACCACAAAATGTACACATAAAAAATACATTTAAATATGTACATATATCATAACTTTATGATAGAAGGCGCCAATTTATTTATATTAAAACGATATGTTAAATAAATTGACTTTCCTATCTGTAATGATAAAACTCACCAAAACTATATTCCGATGCATAATTGTCTGTGGGCTAAATTATGATCATAGTTTGGTGTTTTTACCCTAATTAATTATATAAACATAACAAAATTGCCTGTGGGCTAAATTTTATTATATCATATAATTAATCACAATCAATACGTCTATGACTGTATGTGATCTCACAAAATTTCAATTAATCAAAGATACCGTGGCTATTACTTAATTAATCAAAATTATAAGATCACTAGACTGTTCTTAATATCTTAGGCATCAACTTTAAAGCCTAAAAAATAATTATGCAACAATATGATAAACAATTCCAAGTGTACTCCCAGGAAAGTTGGTTGGGACGGAGCCTCATTAAAAATAACCAACTCCTTAGACAGGGTAATGTTTCAAGGGAACTAGTAGCACATTGGCCCATTCCCGAGAAACTTTTCACCGGTTTATGTTTTCTCACACTAAAGGCATAATTGACGAGCAATCTTTCCAAATCTTTAATAGTTCGCCTATGGAAAGACTTTTAATCTCAAGTGAACATTCTAAACGGTCTAAAGGTGCTTAAATATAATGCACTACCGTTTATTATTCCACACACAAGGTTCACCTTAACAAGGAATTATTATAATTCCCAACTTATGCAACTCCAAAGGCATAATTAAATTCACATAACTAGAAAATATAATGTTATGCTAGTGAACAATTATATGTGAAATTCAATATGCTCATATCCAAATAAATTGTACATCATAATAACAATTTAAAATGAGCTATAAAATTATTATTCAAATAACAACATAAATCCAAAACTTAAAGGATCATAAAATTTGAATAATAATTTATAATAACCATATACTTTTCAATTATTGAAAAGTTTTAACTTGTAGGCCCAATACAAAAGTGATTCAATGCATATAGTAAACTTTATGAGAACTAGCTTAAAATTGTAAATTCTAACCATATCAAAACCATATGATATGTTGACATTTACGAATTAAATTCTCACAAAACTAAATTGCATAATTTAAACAATAATATTATGCACTTAATTTTTTTTTTTTTGAAAATATATGTGGTGCTTTATTAAAAATATGTCGAAATAATGTCTGGTGGGAGAAGATCCCAGTACATAGTAGCCGATTGCTGATATGCTGAAGTAGCTAAGGCATGAGCTATAAAATTGTCTAGTCTAGAAATAAAATGGAAAGAACAAGACTGAAAATAAGCTGTAGCTGCTCTGCAGGCGTCAATGGCATAGTCGACGTAAGTGCGAAACGTAGTAGACGGTGTAGTAAGATAACGCTGTAGCATTAAACAATCTGTATATATTTCGATGTTCTGTTCCCCTTGATCCTTTAACCATGACAAAGCCTCCTTGCATGCCAATGCCTCGGCCATAAGTGGTGAGAAACAATCCGGGAGGGGTGCACTGAAGGCCGCGACATACCCTCCATTCATGTCTACGAGGATTGCCCCAACCGTAGCCTTGCCCGTATTGTGTATAAACCCCGCGTCGATGCGACATAGCCTCCGAGGTGGCTCTTCCTGTACAATACCGTGAGGTCCGAGTGGCGCATGAGAGCCAAGATGTTGAGATTGCGTTGCAGGCAGTGGTACGTGGTTTTGGACTGCTGGCGGGTTTGCCCTTCTCCATGCATGCAATGCCGAATTCGCTGCTGCCAACAAAGATTGTGGCCGTGGTAATAGAGCATTCCAAACCGCCCCGTTCCGTGCTCTCCAAATATTGTAGAGGATTGATGCTGCATATAACATCCCATCAAAATCTAAAACATTTAGGAGCTCACCAAACCAAATATGAAAAATATTCGTTATAATATTGGGGATTGGAAGGTTGGATCGGTCCCAAATGTTCTTTGCAAATTCACATAACACTAAAGCATAAAACAAACTTAAAAATATGAATATAAAATCAAACATCCATACTCAATCAAAGTGGGTATCAACAATCCAAAAACAATAATGATAACAATGTTACGACATATTGATTCCTCAGTTCAAAACCGATAATCGTTATTACTGACAGTAATAACAGAATAATCAATTTCCTCAATCGTAATCGCCCCTGACATTTAATAGCAACAACTACAAAATATTATCATTATTAACACATATGATTTGGATCGAGAATGAAATGGTTTCAAAATTATGATTTCAAATCATACTATCAAAATTCAAACCAAATGATGATAGTAACGACACAAAACATTGATCCATCGGTTCTGATACTGCTAATTCTACGTAAGCAATATAAATAACACAAGACCAAGTAAAGCAAGTAATGTCTTTATTGATCAAGGTAGAGTTCCTAAGTACA